ATATATATATATATATATATATAATAAAGGTATGATGTTGAGGTGAAGTTTGGAAAGGAAAGGAATGGGAAGATTAAAATTGTGTGTCTGGATCTGTATTAGCTGTAACTGAAAAGAAGGCCGAATAAATGAACGTTGATGCTTTTTAACAGCAAATATTGAATTTGCAAATCGTATACACTATCGAATCCGTAACCACATCCATAAAAGACTGTCAAATTCATGGTTATCTGAAACTAAATGATAGTTAAGATCCTTAAAAACACTAATACGTTAACATAATTATTGTGTTAAGGTAAGAGAATAAACAGGAGAAAGGAGGTATCAAAATAATAAACAAAAAGAGGGTGAAGGATGTATAAGACATCCTTAGGATCCATCTTAAAGTAACGCTAATAATACTAATACTAATAATACGTATACCAATACCAATACTAAAGATACTAATAATAATAATTAATACCACTATTTACCTGAGAAATAGTCTGGATAAGTTATTTTTACTCTTCCTCCATGTCCCCGGAGATCGCTGTTTTGCAATTCGGGAATGTTCACGTCCTCAACCTTCTTGAAGTACGGAAGCACATCCGCGAACGACCACCCGCGGTTTCCCATGGCCGCCCAGTTGTCGAAATCCAGGGCGTTGCCGCGAATCGCGAACATGTAGTTGATGCCTGTGCCGCCGCCGACCATTCTGCCAGTGGGGTAGTCGCACCGGGAGTCCTCCATGAGAACGCAGCAAGTGGTCTGCGGGGTGGTGACGTACTGCCAGTTGGCGTCGGTGGATTGGAACTGGCCGATAAAGAAGGGCACGTCCATGACGGGCACCTCTTCCCCGCCGGCCTCCAGCAGCAGCACGTTCCAGTCCGGTCGCTCCGTGAGGCGCAGGGCCAGGGCGCTGCCGGCGGCGCCCGCGCCGACGATGACGAAGTCGAACTCCTCCCTGCACATCACCCCGCCACCCTCACGGCGCCGCAGCCACAATTCATACTTACCACGATACAGGCAGAACGCACAATGGCACCACAAGAACTTTTACTTGTCCATTTATACAGATTGTCTATGGCAGTCTCCATTGGCATTTCTTATACCACTCACTCCCACAACTTCCTAGGTAGCAACTGAGAGCCAACAAGATTCGCACCGCGCTCCACGGAGAAACATCATACCTCTCGTGTGCCACAATAGTGGCACAACTCAAAAATGGCGAATTTTGAGATAATGCACACTCCGGAATTGCAGATTGGTCAAGCTTCCAGCAGCATATCTTAGTGTTGAGTATTCCGCCAACAAATAGCAGAAGTGTTGCACATAACACAAGACTGATGCGTTTCAATAAATGGTGAAAACTTGAAACACATTTATCTCAAAACGAGTTGTGTCATTACTGCAGCCCATAAGCGATATGGTGCCTGGACTATACTATCCACGAACCATGTAAGCGGCCCAAAGTCATAAGCAAAGTCCCATCTCCGTGTATACCATTACATCTTTCGTGGTCGTATTTTCTCTTCGTTACAACTACTATGATTTAGTTGCAGCTCACTCTATTATAATTCTTTAATATCACCCTATATAATTTGTTAATTCGCTTGTCTTTGATACCGCTGAGTGGAAATATGACTTCCTTATACAAAAAATATGGAATCTATTGAAGTAGCCGTTCAGTGGTCGCAAAGATTATTATTGTAGATCCATCATGATGATGTACATCAAAAAATATAAGACATATTTTTAAATTCCATACAATTTTCTATTGATATCTCTTTCAATTTATTTAAATTGTACAGATACGTTTTGAGAAATTTAAGGTCAAATTTGTTATTGGAAGTGTACCAGAAGAATGCAACAATTCACCTGTTTACAGTTGCTCATAGCAACTATTGCGGTACAGCGATAATAGCAGAAGAGAGCGGGGCCAGATGAAGCAGAGCGAGGCATAGCAGTGCTGGGTCTGAGGGGATAGGACGGGGCAGGGTGAGATAGATTGGGAGGGAAAGAGATCAGGCTGGCCAAGTCAGGGTGGGTCAAGCAGGGACAGAATAAACAGGATGCGGCGGTAATTAAATATACCTAAAGGATGAAATGTTCCGGTGGGAATTGTTTATACATCTTGTTTAATATAATAGATGATTGCGAATAATAAATATCCGGACAACGTGAGATACTGCAGCTAGTTGGTAGTATTATTTTCATTTGACATAATGTTTACGAATAGCGCGTCGAAGTTGTAGAATCACTATGCACGACCATGGCTAGAAAGTTTTTAATTTTTAGTATTCAAACTGGAATAATTTAATATACATACATTAGTGACTATATCGGGGATCGATATTTGAAAAATGATGTCGGATTCTTCTCTTTTTTTTCCTTTTTAATTAGCTTATTACTATTGAGAATGTATTGTAATGATCAATTAAAAACAAACAAAAAAAAAGCGATTTGTTGACATAACTCGTTTTGCGTGTCCCTTTTAACCTTCCGAGTACCAAGCTTGAGAATCTACCTCAACTACCTATTACGTCAATCTACTACGGTTTCTGCATGGACCAATTTTTAAGAGATAACTTAAGTCAATTGTTACACAAAAATGATTTATTTAGCAAGCTCTTTGTTATTATTAACTTAATATTTCGTCACATGAGTGATAAGCAATATCTGAAAACTTTTAGTGATGACTTGAAAACACGTACTTTCACACTTTGCACGATGTGTCTGACTTTCTATCACTCTTTCTGGAACATAACTGACATCGGTTTCTTTTTGACGGCTGTTTTGCAGCAATCTGTACTTGTTCTATTTCGTCTGAAATGAGATTTTGTATCGTATTTATTACTTTTTTGAGTAGGTCGGAGAAATACTGTAAACATTGCTTGGCGTGTGGCGTGAGTAATTCTAGCATTACTAAAAAGTATCAATAAAAATATTTTAGAATGCCCTAAAAACAAAGAAAAATTACGTAAAAATGTATCAAAACCTCTTCAGATGAACAACTCAAGCTGTTAGTTTTGTTACTGATGTAAATGAGGCTTCTTCCTTTTGTTAAAGTGAACTCAGCTCGCAAACGTTTGGTTTGGATTGTTCTTTAAAAGAAAATCAGCCGAACTGACAATGGTGCTGATAGCTGTCACAAGAACCTTAGATTATACACTAGTACTCACAACGGTTATTGCAATATAAGAGCAAAGAAGTCGAATAATCTACTCAGGAATTTTGTGGTGAACATACGTTGCACTTTGTAAATAATGTGTGAAGCAAGTACCATTAAAATTACAATAAAATCAGTTAAATCAGCAAAAAATACATTAAAAATGATGTAAAAATGTTAAAAATTATTTATGAGTCAAAATGCACAAAAAATTAGCTATAAAAATGGTTTATTTCCTTTTTTCATAACATAAAATGAATTTCTATACTATATGGTATTGTTCTAAAGTGAAAAGAAAAAAGTGACATTTCATTAAAATCCGCCCCTATCTATGACACTCTGACAATTTAAAAAATAGACACTACTTGTACTCGTTGTTTTAGCATTAAACTATTTAAAAGTTTATCTTTGGGGTCACCTTGGACCCCACTCGGTACTCGGACGGTTACTACAAAAGTGGATAATTGTTGTTATATGCAGTAAATCTCTTCCTCTATTAATTTGTGTAAGCTGTAGGGGCGTTCATGATACCGAAAACTGGTTCACTCGGAAACGTCTCTCCCTTTTTGTTTTTGACAGTCTGAGTGTTCGTCTAAGAATAACGCTAGGGGCTGAACTGGATTTCTACCAAAATTCATATTACTCGATAGATCTGTCTCACGCCGCGGGCCCTTGAATTTGAAACGAATATTTTGATTTTGCGGGCACTTTAAATGAATTATCAAGGAAATGTTCAAAACTATTTCTTTCATTTTTTCTTTCACGGAACAATACACTTAAATATAAAAGTGTTTGATGATCGGTTTTCGGCGAACTCTCTGAAATTTCGAAAATTGCAAAAGATATAACTATTGCAAAAAGCGTTCGTTGCAATAGCATCCGTAGTTGTGACGCTGCTATTCTAAACTCAGAATTTGATTACATATAAGCTGGCTACGTACCATTTTTAGTGTCACTATGTTGAGGCAAGGCAAAATACTTTGAGATTTTTGGATCCGAAAAGCAAAACATTAATGTCGAATAACAAGCGAAATATAAGGAATTGCGCAATGACACAAATTAAAATGAGTCATTGAGAACATAAGGTATTACAAAATGCAAATATTATATTATTAAATAAATTCAGGACAACTTAAGATTTGAAAAAAAAACGAGCATATAAATAATAAGAGACATTGTTGATAGGGGTCAAGAGACAATAGATGCATGGTTGTGATGCGACAAGATCGTAGCAACATTATCATCATGCGAAAACATCGATGAACTGTAATAACAATCAAACAAGTGAATTGACCAGGGCAGATGGTAAATGAAAATGAACACTTTTAAAAAGAGAACTATGCCGGATTTTGAAGAGAGACAATCGATGGGCGGCCGGGCGTTGAGATAAATATTTTGTAGTAGGTTCGTATGAGACAGAAATTGAACATGTGGTCGACATGTATATTAGAATAGGGACGTAAATGAAATATAATTCATTAGCGAGAAAACCGTAACATTCGTGAGATATTCATGACGCGAATGATAGTAAAACTCAAAACTTAAATTCAGTGTGGAAATAAAAGCTCCAGCATAGTATTATGGAACAGTCGCAGATTTCATCTCCAACGTTAACAGTGTTGTAATAATCTTCGCAAAGGGAAGTTTAGAAAATAAGTGGCAATAGAGCTTTAACAAACAGATTAGGTTAAGCAAGGTCAAGATAAGTTTAATGTTAAGGTTGTTATTTGGTTTAGTAGATATTCGTTGGCCTTAAAAAGGTAATAATAAACATTTAAACGACAAATTGATAAATTTTGAAGGAGATAGAAAAATTGAAATAAATTAATTTACCAGTTGACACTTAATGTCGCTGATAATTCAGTAACAGAATACAAGTTGTTTAATTTTGAGTACTATTAGTTATAGAATATTTCCTAACAAAATTGAATCATTACCAACCAAAGACTTTGTATGGGCGGTATTTTCTAGCCCACGAGAAAAAGGAATAAAAAACTAGAGCTAGCCACTCCATTACTTCGAATTGAAATACATTATAGGGACAAAAATATATTGTGAGTAAATTATAAAAGAGAGATTTTGATGTATTATTTCACTATAATGACGCATTTTATTGGAATTTTATTATAGAGAAATAACGAATAACTACAATAGAATGCTGGTCAAAATAAAGAAGGAATTTTATTATATGGAGGTTTTTGAGTCATTACAGTGTGTAAGCAGCAGAAATTTACCTGTCTGAGATATCTTCACGGACTGGTGTGATGTTACGTTGTATACGAAAAAGTGCAGGCAGGAAGTCAGTAAAGAGGTCGATAAGTTGCAGCATAGACTGAGGGACCAAGTGAAGCAGGGGAGAGACATTTCCTGCGCAGCACAGCACGAGGAACGGCACGAGGAATCCGCAGCGCATTTTGAAATCTGTGCGTCACTGGAAACAACGAAATCAAATAAAAATACAGAGTGAAGGAGTTATAGTAAGTAGGTTTATAATAAGTGTTTTAGAGGATGAAATGTTTAAAATTAGCGGGTATACTTTCAGGTATGTATTCCCCATGTATTGTAAATGTATGTAAACATTCAAAATAGTTCATTACGAAATTTGTCCAGGAATGCTTCATTTTTAAGATATGGCCAACACAACGACGAAATTCAACGGAACGTTTTTCTTTCCACAGGCTGTTGTCATCGTAGAATATGTTCAAAATGTCCACCTCCTGCTTGAATGGAGACCTCACCGATGTCTCTCTGACCTTCCGAAAATGATCCGATTCCGATTCCGAAGGGGTTCTAAATCAGGCACCCGAGACGAATACACCAACGATTTTAAATTGCCCCACAAGTAGAATTCGAGAGGATTCTGACCAGGTGAGCGTGGAGGCCGTTGAGGAAATTGAACCACCTCAACCTATTCAGCGATCACGAAGACTCATAACACACGACAAACGGCGACAGCCTCTCCCTTCCAAAGCCACCCTCCCACTTGCAACAAAGAACTTGAAGGCACCACCCCTCTGAGACTCTCGCCCCAAAAGCAAAAAAGCCTCATGACCATTCATTGCTCCGCGCACTTGCCACCCGCAATATTTCTTCAACCAGAGCAACGGCTCCCAGCAGATGTCCCTCCCCCGACCATTAATCTCTAACCGCGCAATGCATCGGTTGTCGTTGACACCAGAAGACCGACGTCGGCATTTGCATTGCTGCCATGCCTGGGAGGCATGAACAGAGCACGAATGGCGTATCATCTTGTTCAGTGGTGGGAGCCATCGAATATGCGTTCAAAGCAATAGTACTTTCTTCTCTAATAGTGCTTTGGCAGACTGACGGCACAGCGATACTCACAGACGTCCACACGCCCCCCCCACCTCGCTTACGGCACAATACACTGGAACAAAGTGCAGCCAACAAGATAATGCACGACCACATACAGCATTTGTGTATGGTCTACCTAAAGCATGGAGAAGTCCTACTCTAGTGAGAGGGTAGGCTTCCGCGGCCGGACGCCGCGTCCATGGCGAAGGTGCCGACGTTTCGGTCGCCATTCTGCGACCTACCTCCCTAAGAAATGCATGGAGACCGAAAAGTCGGCACCTTCGCCATGGACGCGGCGTCACCCGGACAGCCTAGTAAATAAGTAATGCATTACGCCCTGAAGTACCGACCTGCTGGCTGTGGAGAAACAGCTGCAAAATTGGTGGACAAACTTGCCTCCAGAGAGGATCCAAAAACTGTTCGACACCGAACCGCACAAGGGTATGCTTTGCAGCCAGATGAGCTGCAATGTTCTAAT